TGGGCCAGAGATTCTGGTACATTGTGTATTTGTTCTCATTGGTTTCAAAGAACATCTTTATTTCTGCCTTCATTTCATTATTTACCCAGTAGTCATTCAGGAGCAGGTTGTTCAGTTTCCATGTAGTTGAGAGGTTTTGAGTGAGTTTCTTAATCCTGAGTTGTAATTTGATTGCACTGTGGTCTGAGACAGGTTGTTGTGATTTCTGTTCTTTTACATTTGCTGAGGAGTGTTTTACTTCCAATTATGTGGTCAATTTTAGAATAAGTGTGATGTGGCACTGAGAAGAATGTATATTCTTTTGATTTGAGGTGGAGAGTTCTGTAGATGTCTATTAGGTCCACTTGGTGCAGAGCTGAGTTCAAGTTCTGGATATCCTTGTTAACTTTCTGTCTGGTTGATCTGTCTAATATTGACAGTGGGGTGTTAAATTCTCCCACTGTAATTGTATGGGAGTCTAAGTCTCTTTGTAGGTCTCTAAGGACATGCTTTATGAATCTGGGTGCTGCTGTATTGGTGCATATATATTTAGGATAGTTAGCTCTTCTTGTTGCATTAATCCCTTTACCATTATGTAATGCCCTTCTTTGTCTCTTTTGATCTTCGTTGGTTTAAAGTCTGTTTTATCAGAGACTAGGATTGCAACCTGTTTTTTTTTTTTTTCCTTTCCATTTGCTTGGGAAATCTTCCTCCATCCCTTTATTTTGAGCCTATGTGTATCTCTGCACATGAGATGGGTCTTTTGAATACAGCACACTGATGGGTCTTGACTCTTTATCCAATTTGCCAGTCTGTGTCTTTTAATTGGGGTATTTAGCCCATTTACATTTAAGGTTAATATTATATGTGAATTTGATCCTGTCATTATGATGTAAGCTGGTTATTTTGCCCGTTAATTGATGCAGTTTCTCCATAGCATCGACAGTCTTGACAACTTGGCATGTTTTTCCAGTGGCTGGTACCAGTTGTTCCTTTCCATGTTTAGTGCTTCCTTCAGGAGCTCTTGTAAGGCAGGCCTGGTGGTGACAAAATCTCTCAGCATTTGCTTGTCTGTAAAGGATTTTATTTCTCCTTCACTTATGAAGCTTAGTTTGGTGGATATGAAATTCTGGGTTGAAAATTCTTTTCTTTAAGACTGTTGAATATTGGCCCCCACTCTCTTCTGGTTTGTATGGTTTCTGCTGAAAGATCTGCTGTAATCTGATGGGCTTCCCTTTGTGGGTAACCCGAACTTCCTCTCTGGCTGCTCCTAACATTTTTTCCTTCATTTCAACCTTTGTGAATCTGACAATTATGTGTCTTGGCTCTTCTTGAGGAGTATCTTTGTGGTGGTCTCTGTATTTCCTGAATTTGAATGTTGGCCTGCCTTGCTAGGTTGGGGAAGTTCTCCTGGATAATATCCTGAAGAGTGTTTTCCAACTTGATTCCATTCTCCCCATCACTTTCAGGTACACCAATCAAACTTAGATTTGGTTTTTCACAGAGTCCCATATTTCTTGGAGGCTTTGTTCATTTCTTTCTTTTTTTTTTTTTTTGAGACGGAGTGTCGCTCTGTCACCCAGGCTGGAGTGCAGTGGCCAGCTCTCAGCTCACTGCAAGCTCCACCTCCCGGGTTTATGCCATTCTCCTGCCTCAGCCTCACGAGTAGCTGGGACTACAGGTGCCCGCCACCTCGCCCAGCTAGTTTTTTGTATTTTTTTAGTAGAGACGGGGTTTCACCATGTTAGCCAGGATGGTCTCGATCTCCTGACCTCGTGATCCACCCGTCTCGGCCTCCCAAAGTGCTGGGATTACAGGCTTGAGCCACTGCGCCCGGCCTTGTTCATTTCTTTTTACTGTTTTTTTCTCTATTGTTGTCTTCTCACTTTATTTCATTAATTTGATCTTCAATCACTGATACCCTTTCTTCCACTTGATCAAATTGGCTACTGAAGCTTGTGCATGCATGACAAAGTTCTCATACCATTGTTTTCAGCTCTATCAGGTCATTTAAGGTCTTCTCTGCACTGTTTATTCTAGTTAGCCATTTGCCTAACCTTTTTTTCAAGATTTTTAGCTTCCTTGCAATGGGTTAGAATATGGTCCCTTAGCTTGGAGAAGTTTGTTATTACCGACCTTCTGAAGCCTGCTTCTGTCAAGTCATCAAAGTCATTCTCCATTCAGCTTTGTTCCATTGCTGGCGAGGAGCTGCGATCCTTTGGAGGAGAAGAGGCACTCTCGTTTTTAGAATTTTCATCTTTTCTGCTCTGGTTTCTCCCCATCTTTGTGGTTTTATCTACCTCTGGTCTTTGACATTGGTGACCTAAAAACGGGGTTTTGATGTGGATGTCCTTTTTGTTGATGTTGATGCTATTCCTTTCTGTTTTTTAGTTTTCCTTCTAACATTCAGGTCCATCAGCTGCTGGTCTGATGGATTTTGCTGGGGGTCCACTCCAGACCCTGTTTGCCTGGGTATCGCTAGCAGAGGCTGCAGAACAGCAAATATTGCAGAACAGCAAATATTGCTGCCTGATCCTTCCTCTGGAAGCTTTGTCCCAGAGGGGCACCTGTCTGTATGAGGTGCCTGTCAGCCCCTACTGGGAGGTGTCTCCCCGTTAGGCTACACGGGGGTCAGGGACCCACTTGAGGATGCAGTCTGTCTGTTCTCAGAGCTCAAACGCTGTGCTGGGAGAATCACTGCTCTCTTCAGAGCTGTCAGACAGGGACATTTAAGTCTGCATAAGTTTCTGCTGCCTTTTGTTCAGGTATGCCCTGCCTACACAGGTGGAGTCTATAGAGGCAGTAGGCCTTGCTGAGCTGTGTTGGGCTCTGCCCAGTTTGAACTTCCAGGCTACTTTGTTTACCTACTCAAGTCTCAGCAATGGTGGGCACCCCTCCCCCTACCAGGCTGCTGCCTTGCAGGTTGATCTCAGAGTGCTGTGCTAGCAGTCAGCAAGGCTCTGTGGGCATGGGACCTGCTGAGTCAGGCATGGCAGAGAATCTCCTGGTCTGCTGGTTGCTAAGACCATGGGAAAAGCACAGTATTTGGGCAAGAGTGTACCATTTTTCCAGGTACAGTCTGTCACAGCTTCCCTTAGCTAGGAAAAGGAAATCCCCCAACTCCTTGCACTTCCCCAGTGAGGCAACACCCTGCCCTGCTTTGGCTTGCCCTCCATGGGCTGCACCCACAGTACAACCAGTCCCAATGAGATGAACCAGGTACCTCAGTTGGAAATGCAGAAATCTCCCGTCTTCTTTGTCAATCATGCTGGGAGCTGCAGACTGGAGCTGTTCCTACTCAGCCATCTTGGAATGGACTCTAACTTTCTTTAATTTCTTTGAGCAATATTTTATAGTTTTCAGTGCATCAGACTTGCACATCTTTGGTGGGATTTGTCCCCCAGTATTTTACATTTTTTGGTGTCACTGTAAATGGTGTTTTAAATTTAATCTTTTGAGTGTTCTATGGGTTGAATTGACCCTTCCTTCCAAGAGATATATTGAAGTCCTAACCCCTGGTACCTGTGACTCTGAGTTTGTTTATAAATAGAAGTCTTTGCAGATGCAATTCATTAAGATGAGGTAATGGTGTAAGATGGGCCCTTAATCCGATATGGTTGGTATCCTTTAAGAAGAGGGAAATTTGGACATAGACACACAGGGAGGGAAGATGATGCAGAGATCCAGAGAGAGAATCCAGCCAAATGACAATGGAGGCAGAGAATGGAGTGATGAATTTACAAACCAAGGAATGCCCTGGATTGTCAGAAAACACCGGGAGCTGGAAGAAGCAAGGAAGGACTCTCCCCTAGTTCCTTCAGAGAAAGCATGGCCCTACCAACACCCTGATGTCAGATTTCTATCCCCCATCACCTTGTTAATGAGTGTTTATCATTCTTAAGTTCTGGTATCATTTCAAGTTCTCTCCTCTAGTTACTTTGAAATATACATAATATTGTTGCTAAGTATAGTCACCCTAGTCTGCTATCAAACATTAGAGCTTATGTCTTCTGTCTAACTATATGTTTGTGCCCATAATCAACCTGTCTTCATCCTTTCCTTCCCCTCCACCCTTTCCAGTCTCTGGTATTATATTTGGAGATTTTCTAGATATCTTTCTATTATTGATATTTACTTTAATACCACTGTAGCCAGGGAATATATTTTATATAATCTGATTCTTTTAAAATTGATCACTACTTACTTTATGGCTACCTTGGTAAATGTTCCAGTGAAATGTTATTGAAAAAAATTCGGCTGTTGGATGGAATGTTCAATAATCAATTGAGTCAAATTAATTGATACTGTTGGTCAAATCTTTTATATCTTTACTGATTTTCTATTTGTTCTATCAATTATTAAGATATGGGTATTGATATTACTGATTATCATTGTGGATTTGTCAATTTATCCTTGTAGTTCTATTGGTTTTTGCTTCATGTATATATGCATACACACACACACACATATATATATACACACACAAACATATATACATAGAGAGAGAGAGAGAGAGATAAAGAGAGAGTCCTACTCTGTCACCTAGGCTGGAGTGCAGTGCCACAATCATGGCTTACTGCAGCCTTCACCTCCCCAGGCTCAGGTGATCCTCCCATCTCAGCCTCCCAGGTAGCTGGGACTACAGGTGTGAGCCACCATGCCCAGCTAATTTTTGTATTTGTATTTGTATTTTTTTTTCTGAAATAGAGTCTCTCTCTGTCGCCCAGGCTGGAGTGCAGTGGCATGATCTCAGCTCACCACAACCTCTGCCTACTGGATTCAAGCAATTCTCATGTCTCAGACCCCACCTCCTGAGTAGCTGGGACTACAGGTACACGCCACCAAGCCTGTTTAATTTTTGTATTTTTAGTAGAGATGGGATTTCACCATGTTGCCCAGGCTGGTCTTGCGCTGCTGGGCTCGAGTGATCAACCCACCTTGGCCTCTCAAAAGTGCTGGGACTATAGGCGTGAGCCACTATGACTAGCCCAGGTTTTTTTTTTTTTTTTTTTCAAATTCAGTCTTCGTAAAGACTGTCAAAAATTGTCAATGCTGACTATGTTACAAGTCATCACAGTGGGGTATTGGGAAAAGTTTTCAATTAGCAATAGTCGTGCCTCAGATAAACCTCATTGGCTATGATACTTGCCATTGTGCAAAGCTGCTTCATGTACTTTGAATATCTGTTATTGGGTACATAAATGTTTAGAGTTATTATGTCTTCTAGATGAATTGACCTCTTTATCATTATGAAATGATCTTTTTTATCCCTGGCAATATTCTTTGCTCTGAAATCTACATTATTAGTATTAGTATAGCCATTCCAACTTTATTTTGATTAGCATTAGCATGGTACATTTTTTCTATCCCTTTAGCTTTAACTTATTTGTGTCTATATTTAAAAGGATTTTTTTAGGCAGTTAGATATTGCTTTTATAATCTAATCTGACAAATCATGTTTTTATAATCTAATCTGACAAATCATGCTTTTATAATCTAATCTGACAAATTATGCTTTTTTTTTTTTTTTTAAACAGAGTCTCACTCTGTCACCCAGGCTGCAGTGCAGTGGTGCAGTCTTGGCTTACTGCAACCACCACCTCCTGGGTTCAAGTGAGTCTCCTGTCTCAGCATCCCAAGTAGCTGGGATTACAGGTGCACCCCACCACGCCTAATTTTTGTATTTTTAGTAGAGACAGGGTTTCACCATGTTGGCCAGGCTGGTCTCGAACTCCTGACCTCAACTGATCTACCCTCCTTGACCTCCCGAAGTGCTGGAATTATACCCATGACCCCACTGCACCTGGCCTTTAATTGGAGTATTTAGACCATTTATATTTAATGTGATTACTGATATAGCCTGGCTTAAATTTTTGTCTTGTTATTTGTTATCTATTTGTACCATCTGTTCTTTGTTTCTTCTTGCCCCTTTTTCTCAGGAACATAAATAACTGAAATTCAAAATAGTGAATATGGCTGAGCATGGTGGTTCATACTTGTAATACTAATACTTGGGGAGGCCAAAGCAGGTTGATCTGTTGAGATCAGAAGTTGGAGGCCAGCCTGGGCAATGTGGTGAAACCCTGTCTCTCCAAAAAATACAAAAGTTAGCTGGGTATTGTGGCAGGTCCCAACTACTTGGGAGACTGAAGTGGGAGGATCACCTGAGCCTGGGGAAGTTGAGGCTGCAGTGAGCTGAGATCATGCCACTGCCCTCCAGCCTGGGCAACAGAGCAAGACCTTGTCTCAAGAAAAAAAAAAAAAAAGACAAAATAGTGAATATGGTGGGAGAGATTCAAAGAAAGATTTGGGACTTTACAGAAGAGAGATATTAAGTCAAACTGATGATGTCAGGAATGACTTAAGAAAATATTCAAATTGAACCTTGAAATATTTTGGATATGGGCGATGGTGTAAGGAAGGTGCTCTATATAGAGGCAATAGGATGAACAATGGGATTGGAGGCAGTAAAGCATGTGTTTGGGCTAGGGAATAATAGATTGTTCAGGTGGCCTGAAAAAGAGTGGCAGGAGAGATGTGGAAAGTACTTATGTTATTAACAGCTTCCTACGGATGTCCCTACCCTGATAACCCACGGATACCTGAGATATCTGTCAAATCCCACATATTATCTACTCTTTAAACCTGCTCTCTCAATAGCCCCTAATTTTATGTATGGTATCACCAGCTTGCTTAATATACATACCAGATAGTCATTTTGAGTCATTTTAAATGCCTCTTTGTTCCTCAACCCTATTCATCCCACCTGCAGGTCATCTTCCAAATTTCAGCTTTTTTTTTTTTTTTTTTTTTTTTTTTTTTTTTTTTTGAGATGGAGTTTCGCTCCTGTTGCCCAGGCTGGAGTGCAATGGAGTGATCTTGGCTCACGGCAACCTCTGCCTCCCAGGTTCAAGCAATTCTCCTGCCTCAGCCTCCCAAGCAGCTAGGATTACAGGCATGCACCACCATGCCCAGCTAATTTCGTATTTTTAGTAGAGACGGAGTTTCACCATGTTGGCCGGGTGGTCTCAAACACCTGACCTCGTGATCATCCGCCTTAGCCTCCCAAAGTATTGGGATTACAGGTGTGAGCCACGGTGCCTGGCAACGAGCTTTCTTTTCTATCCTTATCTATCCCCACAGCCTTGGAGCCAGGCTCAACTCCCCTCCCCCACCCTGCCCCCCAAACTGTTTAATTAGCCTTCTTACTGGTTTTGCTGCTTCTAGATTCTTCTCTCTTTCAACCAATGCCACACATACCCCCCTGTATGCCCTGAGATGGATGTGAAGTTCTGTGTGTGTACATGTGTACATGTGTACATTTTTCTGGGGAGTACTTGTAGCTTTCATCAAAGTCTCAAAAGTCCACAAAACACTAGGAGTCACTACCCTGTATCTTTATTTCAGATGAAACCATGCTCAGTTAATGTGGTGCAGTTGACAGACTACTGAACAGTAAGTCAGGAGACCTGGGGTTTAGTTCTGGTGCTGCCACTAATTAGCCGTATGATTTCGGGCAATGAGGCACTTACTTTGCACCTGTTTCCTCATCTGTAAAATTCAGAGTCTCTTCCAACCTTAAAATGCTATTATTGAGAAATTACCTTTCAATTATTATGAAGAAATTACCATACAATATCATAAATGCTAAAACAAAGGTATGCAGAGCTTTGAGAGCACAAAGGAGGTTCTCTGGGTGTGGGGCCATCTAGCTTTGCTTGGGAAAGTTGGTAAAGAGTTGCAGAGGAGGCTACAGTCGAGTCTTGAAGGATGAACAGAACTTTCCAGGCAGAAAGAAGGAGGAGGGCATTTTAGGCAAAGGGAACTTTGTGAGAAGGCAGAGAAGTAGTAGAGCCTCAAGTTGGCAGAACAACGAGTAGATGGTTATAGTTTGGATATATGTGTACTGAAAGTTTGGGCTTTAAATGCACAGGGAGTACTAGGAGATAAGCCTGCAGAAGGGGAATGAGTTGGGGCCTGAAGTTTCTTATATATGGTGCCAAAAAGTTTTGATTTTATCTTGTAGACAGTGGGAAGCCATGGGTTGTTTTAGGTAAGAGAGTGACAGGCTGATTTCCCTTTCATAAAAATCGCATTGGCAACAGGGAGGAAGATGGATTGAAAGAGAATGAGACATGTTTGGAAAAGATAAAGGTCTGAATAAGTCAAGGGGATAGAGGTGGAAGGAAGATAATGTTGTTCCTTTTAAACCTATTACATTTAAGATACCCAAGAAATGTCCAAGTGAAAATGTATGGTAGGAAGTCGGAAATTTGAGTCTTATGCTCACAAGTTAGACCTGGATTTAGCAGCATTCATAAGTGAGCACTGACTGAAGCCACAGGAGTGAATGACATTGCTTTGGAAAAGCATGTGGAGTGGGGAGTAAGGGGGCCAAAGGCTAAATTCTGGGAAGTAACAGTATTTGGAGTCAGCAGTAGAAAACACATTGGAAGGGTGGCTTGGGTTCAAGGAGCTGAGGAGTGAAGGGAGGAAGAGAGATAGTAGTGAAGAATCTACTTTTTTTTTTTTTGAGACGGAGTTTCACTCTTTTTGCCCAGGCTGGAATGCAATGGCGGGAACTCAGTTCACCGCAATCTCCGCCTCCCGGGTTCGAGCGATTATCCTGCCTCAGCCTCCCGAGTAGCTGGGATTACAGGCACCTGCCACCACGCCCGGCTAATTTTGTATTTTTAGTAGAGACAGGGTTTCTCCATGTGGGTCAGGCTGGTCTCGAATTCTCGACCTCAGGTGATCCACCCGCCTCAGCCTCCCAAAGTGCTAGGATTACAGGCGTGAACCACCAGGCCTGGCCTAATAATCTACTTTTTTAAGAGGGTTAGATGAGAAAGAAATGAAAGCGAAGGCTAAAGCAAGAGGAGACTACTGAGTGAAGGAAGGTATTTCATTTTATTATGTCTGCTGAGCAAAGATCAGTGAAGAGGCCGAAGTTGGTTACCGGAGAGATTGGGAATAATGGATGGAGGTGGGAAAGGATGGGATATAACACACACCTGCAGGGCCTAGACCCAGGCAAGGGAGGTGGAGAGTGTTTATTCTTCCCTAGAAGGAGGAAGGAAATCAGAAAGAGTTTAATTCAGTGGTTCTCACATTAGAATCACTGAGGTATCTTAAAAAAGTGCCAATAGCTGGGTCACACCTCGGAAGTTTCTGGTTTAATGAGTCCGGGATGGTCCTGGGCATTGATGTGTTTTCAAAGCTTCCCAGGAGATTAAAATCTGCAGTCAAAGTTCACAACCACTGGTTTAATTGTAGGTAACATTTTAGATTCACGATAATAGGATTGGATTTGAGGAAACTCACACTTAATAAAGGTCTGATGAATAGGGAGTGATCAAGGTTTCATAGATGAGGAAGGGAGAAAGAGAAGGAAGCAAGAAGGGAAGGCAGCTAATGCTAACTTAGTGTATTTTATGTGCCAGAGATATAGAAATGAATGAGGCGTGGTCCTTCTTCTTAGAGATCAGGATCTCACATGAGAGACACCTCACCACAAGCCTATGATGTAGTACAGTTCTTGACCAGTTAAGTTTTTTTGTGTGTGAGCAGTTTTTTTTTTTTTTTTTTTTTTACTAAAACTGAGGGGGGAAATCCCTCACCCTCAGAACCCAGGTATTTCACAATATAGACTGGTTCTGGAAATCCTTTTGTGAGCATTGAGAGTAGCCTTTCTGGGAAGGTGGGTGCTGGGGAAAGATCTCTAACTATTCCGGGAGATCAACTCATCCCCAGGCTCATCAGCAGGGCTGGAAGTAGATGGTGATCGTGGCCCTGCATGTGGGTACATTACTGCAGTCACCTGTACCTGGGAGGTGGTTAAAATTGCTAATTGCTCACATGGAAACACTTTGATGGCCATTCTGCTAGTGTGTGAAGCTTCTACGAGTAAGGTACCAAGGATTCCCTTTCTCTGAGCAGCATTGTAAAAAGGCCCTACTTTTCATCAGAGCAGAAAACCTAACTTTTGCTACTGTGGTCTGGGCCTGACCTCCAGGGACAGCTTCAACCACACAGGAAGTAGGTAGGTGCTTCTCTATAGTCTGGACCTTCCCTCAGAGAGAGTCTACTGTCACTTCTTGAGCTCCCTGAATCTTCCCCAGGGGAGTCCAACTCCCAGGGCTCCTGGGAAGCCTCTGATCTGA